TTCACTGGATAAACTAGGTTTTATTTTCTACAGCATGTCTTTAAATACAGTAACAAGAAGTCAGCAGGTTCATGGGTGCATACCCACTGGAATGTTTTGCTGCACATTAATAACTCCGCAGCACAAGGTTCCAGCTACATCAGCCAAAACAAACATAAAACAGTTTTTGGTTTCAATCACACACATCACCTCTGGGAATTACGTTGAAACTTCCTGTTTTCACCACTACCTGCCATGCATTTCACAGCCTACAAATGTGAGCTAGTGAAGAGCTTTCAGAGATCATACTTGGAAGGAAACCAAAAAGCGAAAAAACAGCTTCAGACTAACACAAATGGCTGTGTTAGTCAAATCTGCCTCTGAAATATAGGCAGGAAAAGGGGCTCGTGAAAAGGACACCATTCATCCAGGATTCCTTTTCAAAGTGACTGTACCAAAGCAGCAAGGTCCTTGCACTGAACTTCAACACAGAACTGCAGGCCAGCAGTCTCCTGGCTCTTCACAGACATCTCCACCATACTCTGTGCCTGCAGGCACTGAGAGGAACAGCAATGGTGTCCCTGCTCAGATTTTAAAGGAAGGTGTAAACAAACATTTGTTTTACTGAACAGTGATGCTTCTCCATATACAAATGCCTTGACTGGGCTCCAGGTACTGCATGTTGCCTGTTCTTTCCTTGCCTCTGCATCAGCACAGGAGAAGGAGAGTTCCAAAATTCTGGGGTGGCCTCTTATCAGAGAATTATAGAATCAGAGAATCGTAGAATCAGAGAATCATAAAATCACAGAATCATAGAATCAGAGAATGGCCTGGGTTGGAAGGGACGCCGAAGATCACCTGGTTCCAGCCCCCCTTTTTTGAGCAGGAACACCTTCCTCTAGCCCACCTTGCTCAGAGCTCCATTCTACCTGGCCTTGAGCACTTCCACAGATGGGGCATCCACAAGTTCTCTGAGCCATCTGTTTCAGTGCCTTCACTGCTTTCATCCTAATATCTAATCTAAACCTGCCCTCTTTCAGTCTGAAGCTATTCTCCCTTGTCTTGTTACTACCTGCTCTTGTAAATACTCTCTTTCCCCTTGACAATTACCATTATTGATTTTTTAAAGAGTAGATTTCCATTTTATTAAAAAAATACAATAATGTTCAACAAACCTTTGGGGAGCAGCAGGCTCCACATCAATTCAGTCAGTAGTGAGGGATGACAAAATCTCAAAAAATTTAGTGTTTCTTTATATACTAAACTTCAATTTGACTGGGCTTCAGAGGCTGCTACTTTGATGTGTGACATTTAGATTCTGATGTCTTAAGCAAGTGAAACCTTGTACACAGCCTGGTGTCTACCACCATACCACCAGCCTAAATGTTGGACAAATTTTTGAATCATAGAATCACAGAACATGGTGAATTGGAAGGGACCCACAAGGATCATTGAAGTCCAACTCCTGACCCTGCACAGGACACCCCAAGAATCACACCATGTGCCTTTTAAACACTTATTGAACTCTGTCAGGTTTGGTGCCGTTACCACTTCCCTGGGGAGCCTGTTCCAGTGTGCAACCACCCTCTGGGTGAAGAACCTTTTTCTAATATTTAATCTAAACCTCTTTATTTCCTTACTTCAAACAAGGGAAAACAGTTTTTTAGCAATTTTTTATTAGTATCAGTGAAAAATTTCACATGCTCACAAGCATTTTAAGGCAGCTTTGGCCCAAAAAGAAATCCTCACCATTGTTCCCTGTAGGATATAAATTTCATGAGCATTTTTAAATCTGCTCCACTTTTTTGGTCCCCAATTCAGAAAAAAATTAGGGCATTCATTTATGACCTATTTTCTATTGTTAGGAGCCAATCAGTTTGCAGTAGTAATAGATAATAGAGTCCAATGCCGTAATAACAGGGAAGAAAACATATTGACATTCATTGCAATTAGAATGCATCCAGAAAGAAAACTTTTTTACAGCTTCAGGGAAGCAGATGGTTGTTACACCATAACAAACACACACCAACAACTTTCAGGTAGAATTTTTTCCTGCACATCAGGTTTTTTATTTGTGGTGCAAAGTTGATTTTAAACACAAGAACTTCTTTAGTGAGTTGACCCCGTGTGGGTGTCAGGTGTACACCAAAACTGCTCTGTTTTGCCTCTGATGGTAACTGGTGAGTGATCTGCCCCTGTCCTAATCCCACCCCATGAGCTTTTCTTTATGTTGGTCTTGGGCATGTTCAGCATCTGATGGAGCCCATGTCCAGCCCATTGTTTGTGAACTTCTGAGTCTCCCAACTGCTTCTCTCCAGAGGAGTACTTCCAAGTCATTCGCCTCCTGCCGCAGCAGGACTCTCTCCTGACTTAAGCAGATCCATCTTGGGGTCCTTCCCATTCTGGTCCTCCCACAACATGTCAGCCTCTGTCTCTGCCTGTTGGGGCAAGCACTTGCACTGAGACCTCTCACTACCACCTCAGGACATCTTGCAACTATTTCCATTCTCAGAGTTTCCCATTTTCCTGCAGCATCTTCTCCTTCTGTAATGGCCTTGTTCAGCTCACTGACACACAAAACCTGGGCTATATAGGCCTTTGGTCACGTCCTTCATTGCTGCTTTAGTGCATGTCTGTCCCTGACCCTTCCAGATCCCTTCATTCTGTCCCTGCATACCTGCAAGCAGTTACAACAAGAAAAGAAGGAGTACAGAAATTTTAGCCTCTCTTTTCTTCAGTCTCTCCCAGCACGTCTGGGAAAATCTGTCCTTCTCTTTGGCACTCCTAGAAACCACTCTGGAAGCGGTGCCTTTGTTGGGGATCCAGTTGGCTGCCCTTTCCCAGGAGGAAGGGGTGTGTGCCAAGGAGCGTGGCCAGGCAAGGCTGAAAACCTCCCTCTAAAACCTCTTTTATCATTGCTGAGGGCTCCAACAAGGGACTACCCATGTGACCGGCAGCCCTGAGAGCAGGGCCATTGCAGGAGGTGGGGAATGCTCTGCCAGGGCTGTACACACCAAATGTCTCCCAGGGAAGGAGCCACCAGGCAACGGGGGCTAAGTAATTCATGCCTTGCTTGTATATTTCAAAAATCCACCACCTTTGCCTCTCTGGAGGCATAACATAAAATTTTAGTCACAATAACATTTTATTTGATAGAATGGTTTCTAAAAACCTTCCCTTTAGCGTCCTGAAGGGAAAATAATGCTGAGTGTTAACACAGACACGTTTCACAAACTGAAATCTCCATATTGTAACCCAGGGAACCTCTGATGTGAGTACCCTTCTCTCTGCAGCACCTTAGTTAGTAGAGGTATTTTTTCTTCACTACTAGATAAGTGAGTAGTTGACAGTGTTTTACCACTGTTTTGCTAATATAAACTCTTTAACAGATTTCCCTGATTTTTGGTAAAGCTACCAAACAAGGGCAAACCGACCGATTCCTGGCAGGTCTGTCTGGAACAAATGGCAGAGGCGGCTCTGTTGTCTGCAGACTTGCTGTGTTCCTACATGGGGAGTCTCTTTACCAGCCTGATTGAATTACAGTAGAGTGCTACCAAGGAATTTACAGTTACAAGGAGGTTTATAATAAAGAGGATAATGCAGAAAAAAAAAAAAAAAAAAGAGTAAAGTGATTTTTTGAAGATTACCAGCAAGCTAAGTCCACAACACAGGTATTGCTGTGATTGTATATTTTGCATATGCATCTAACCTAGCATTAAAAGTTGCCAGCAGCCTAGTAACAGCATGACAGGTGTTCAGAGCCCCACACTGATGCTATTCTGTAAAATTAGTCACAGCACTAAGGGTAAAACTCTAAGGCTACATCTCCAGTAGTAAATATAAAGGTTAGACACTTTTCCATAACCTGAAGCAAGGCAGCATGGCCTGGCACACATACACAAATTTACACCATTCCCTTTTGCCTCCAGACATGATGGTCATATCTGAACACACATTAGGAAAGGTCTGAGGCATCCAATCCTTTTTGTTTCCAGCAATATTGTTTGCTGGCATGGACCAAATCTGTGCCATGGAGCATTGTAAAAATTAAACAAGACACATGATTGCAGACCAGTCCTGTTCTACTTTCTAGTATAGAGACATAGCCCATGGGTATCCTATGGCCTTCCAAAGCCTTTTAAAAGGCTCTCTGGGGCTCTCTCGTACTTTTCAGTTTTTGTTGCTTACACCAATGGGTCCTCAGACCTTGCCTGAGAACACAGCAGTGCTTTACATCTCACTCATAAATAGATAAAGGGCTTCATTCACTTGAAAACATTGAGCCATGAACAATTCTTAGAGTATCACGCATCAACCATGTCAAACGACCAAAGGGGAAGCTATGTTAGAAAACAGAACTAATAACCACGGCTGCCTAGTCTGTGAGAGGTTTGGAAATGAGAAGGAAGAGGAAGAAGTAAATGGGATCGTTTTGGTGAACAGTCCCGACTGGATCCTGGAATTAGGATGTTGACATAGCTGTAACAGCATAGACCTGTCATAATGATGAGCTCCAGCAGAGACTTTCCCCCCATTTACCGTTCACCTTCCAAGGATATTACATGTGTGCCCCAAGCTGGTTTTGCTAAACCCAGCCATGCTGTTGGAAAAACACATCAAAGTTGGTGTGCATGCACTTGGTTTGGGACTTTTTTATCGCCATTCTGCATATTCCTGTAAGCTCTAAAAAGTTATATAGAAACCAAGTAGAAAACCTGAAATATTTCTGAACTTTTAGTTTTCCATATTTCTTTAGACCAGGAATAAGTATGGATAAAATACAATTCTCTCATTCTCCTGGGGTTCTTGTTAACATGCAAGTTGCTGACTGGATTCAAAGCTTGCTGAATTTAAGAAGCACATTAGTACCAAGAAAATGGCCTCAGCTTCCTGACTATTGATGTGCTCATTTTAAAAACCTCAACATCTATGAATCTGCAGGCTTCTGGGACTTAGTGCTTAAAACTAGCAAGAACAATAAGAGAAAAACTATGTGCCCAATTGCATTTATTAAGGGTCAGTTCAGTTTTGAATCTACCTTTTAAATTCTGTTGGAAAAAGAAACATACAATTCCATTAGGATTCAATGATAGCAGTGCTGATGTCACAGGCACAGCCCATATCCCCTCAGGAAGGACAGGAGCTTCTCCACTGAAAGGCCTGATGTGCATTAGTGCAGTGGTTTGTGGGTTGCTGAAAGCTTTTAAATTACACATTTCCAGAGTAAGAGGGTATGCATGGGGAAAGAGAAATTGAAATTAAAAAAAACCAGACAATACTCCATCTGGGGGTGCTTGGAGTTGGAGAGCAGGCCAGGGCTGCCTGCAGAGACACAGTGGCATTTGGAGACACCTACAGGGATCCTATTCCAGCTGTGCCCTGTGTGGGGTGAGCGTGGAGCCCGTGTTTGTCACGGGCTCAGGACAGGCCATGGGAATCTAAGAGAAGAGGAGCCAGATCCAAAGCAGGGTCTCTATGTGTTTCTCCCTCAAATCCCATGCTCAGAGGGCAGGCTTGTTGGAGTGTGTGTGTATTTCAGATACAGTGAGCTGGAAAATTACAGTACTGGAGGTTACACAGCTGCAAATTAGGTAAGAACCAAGCACAAAGCTCTAAGCTGACAAAAAAAGAGGAGCAAGAAGAGAAAATAGATACCAAATGAAGTGAACATTTACCTTTTTAACACTGATCTTGGACTGCTGGGAAGGTGGAAGCAGGAGAGAGGGAAAAGTTATAGAGAAAAATGATCTTGAGAACACCATGATTTGTAAGAAAGAATATTCCTTTGGGCAGGCATAAGTAAGAGCGAACTTGAGCAACCAATTCCTGAAATTAGCCCCATTGAAAAGCACTTGAAGACGCAATTCAGCTGTGGTTTGAGAGCACAAGGACTTCCAGGAATTAATCTGATCTCCCAGCTCTGTCTGGCACCATGTCAGAGGGAGAGGAGCTGGGACGTGAGCAGGCATTGAGCTGAAGGTATCAGATGGAAGTTTTTGCTTCTCCATTCCCTGTAAGAAAGGCTGACTTTGGAAAGCACATATTTAAAATAAATAGTTTGTGACACAACTTTAACACATTTAAAATGCACAAAAAATCAGATCCTAACTGTTTTGTAATTATTCTTTGCAGTGTGACAAATAATGTTTCAATATTTGCATGCCCAGGCATCAGTAAACATCTTGAAAAATAAGCCTAAAGCACTAAATTTACACCTAAATTAGTGGCTTGCTTTTGAGATATCCAAGGTGCCCAGGCATTATCTTGACTCCAAAGGAAACTCTTGGAAGCCAATCAAAAAGGGTGGGGGAAGAAGGGAATAAAACAGATTGTTGGAGGCAGATCCTGCTTTCTGATTATTTGGGCCCAACACAGTCACCACACAATCGGGAGATGGTGATGGGAAGCTCCAAATCGCACAAATGGCTTCCAGCTCTCTTTTTTTTTTTCATAGAGCAGAGCGTGCAGCAATCGAGCAGCAAAGCAAACATTTACTGCCTACTTGTCTGCAAAAGGAGTTCTGACACACTCTCCTGCACCTGGGGCTGCCTCAGCACGAGCAGAGCCGTGAAGGAGGCACCATGACATTGATTCTTGGGCAGAGCAAGGAGGCACATCAAGAAGGATGTCAATTCTTTGGCAGAACAAAGCACTGCCACCAGACTGCTTCAGAAGGATGTAGGATGTTCATCACCCCCAAAACTGCCCAGGCCCCTTGTGCACAGGAGCAGCTGATGGAGGAATGCACAGCCAGTCCTCAGGAGCTTGCTCCCGTTATGTCTCACCCGAGAAAAAGAAGAATCCCCATCAGACTGGATGTTTTAGTGGTATGACATGACCAGAAGCAAAATGCCATATGTCTTCTGTCTTCATTGTGATAAAAGTTGAGGGCAGCAGACATGGATTTTTACAAGTTCCTGATGCTCAAAAAGCCTTGGGAAATTTAAGAATATTAAAATGAAGCCAAAAGGAAGAGCCAAGTGTGGTTTTCTGTCCACACTTCACTTACTCAGCATTTCTGTCACTGGGCCAGTGTGGGCTGGGATCTGCTTCCCCGCAGAGACAAAGGTTTAAGCACTGTGAGGAAGATACTGATTTTTTCTTTTTTCCACATTAACTGAAACAAAACATATTTACTTGAGGACATTTGTGAGGGCTATAGCATATGAATGGCACCTTCCATGCCCCAGAGGAGATGAATACCTGTTAGATTAGTCGCTAAGCAGTGTCAGAAGCAAGAAAGATCTGCAGCCATTGTTCAATGAATTTGAACAATGAGGAAGAGAGTTTAAATTTATATAATCTGCTTCATCTGGGACTAGCTGACTTGACTAACTAGAAGATGAAACACATGAAATGGAATTCATATAGTGGAATAAGCTTTGCTCATTTGCTGAGCTGGAAGACATTTCACATGGAAATTTAGGAAAATGCACAAAAGTAATTCTTATGATTTAAATTTTTTCCCTAAAAAAGCTGAACAGAAATATTCTAAATAAATGGTGTGCAAAATACCATACAAACTTCTGCCTTAAAATTTAAGTTGAAATGAACTTAAATATATAAAAATTACTTTAGACTATAAGGACAGTCTAGCAGTGACAAATTCTGATATCATTTTAGTGTTCAGGATTGTTAAGAGAGAAAGAGAGGAATTCCTAACTGAAGGGAATGAAAATCATCAGAGGATTTATATGTTAACAAATAGGATTTTACCAAAGATCATCTATTTCAGAGAAAAGCACCATCTGTCACCCTCATACACAAAAAGGGAAAAAAAATAAAAACAGATTTTGGAGCTCCCTCTTCTGGAAGCAGTTACTTTTCTTTGGCTTTCCTCCGGTGCACCTACCACGAACATTTAAAAAACCCCACCACCTTTTCATCAATAAACTGCACGTTTCACTTTACATGTGATATCAAGGAAGAAGAGATTTCTTTCCTCTTTCCACAAGAAGATCAAATACATGTAAACCAGTACTGCTCACTCCACAACTGGAAAAAAACCACAAACAGGATTTAAAGATTGACTGCACGACCAGTGGGATTTCTTTAGCTGTTTTTCCTCTTTATTGAACATAGGGATTCATACTTACAAAGCTTCTCCCACCACAACCGTGGTCCTCTATTTTCTCTCTACCAAATCATCAGGGAATTAGTAAATTACTGTTTAAAAATACAAAAGGGCATTCTCAATAACATCGCTGTAGGAATAAGCCTTAAAAATACCATGCCAAACACTGTAATTATTACACATGAGCAATAACTCATGGCAGTCATGCAGTAGAGCTGACACATTTGGGGTAAGTTCACACCTAAAATTGTATCTGTAAATGTAATTGGGCAGTGCCCCAAATGCCTGGTTTAGCTGTGGGTGTCCTGCAAGACTAACATTTTGGGATGAGAACCTGGAGCACGTTGGAAGTGCATCAGCTCAGGCAGGGTGCCGTTTTAAACAGCCTCTTAGAATAGGATGAAGCACACAGTGGAAGGAGATTTCTTCTTTACCAACCACAAAATGCATTTAAATGCATTCCTCAATGGGGTCTTTTTCAGTTTTTATCACCTTTGTCCTTTTTTGTTCCAGCCTTTTGTCTGCAGACAGGCAAGGCTTCTGGTTTCAGCTACCCAGGTATCAGCTGCTCTGCTCAAAGCATCACCACTTAGCTCAGTGGCTGCCTAACCAGGCTGGTGTGCCACACACTTGGCACAGCTCATTGGCAGGCCTGGGGATGCTCAGCTTCACAGGGATTTTTAAAACAACTCACTATGTTCATCACCTGAGATCCAGCATTTACACATATATATGTGTGTGCATTCCATGCAGAATGGAAACAAATCCATGGTGGAAGAGATAGAAGTGAAAGAGCAGTCTTGGGGATGTGCACAGGTACATGGTGTCAGGAGACAGACACAGGGTGAAAAGCTATCTAAAAATAAGAGCCATAAAGGCACAGAATCATAGATTGAGGTTACGAGGGCAACACTAAAGGGTGAAAAAATATGTGAAAAGTGGCAAATGGGGTCACTGAAAAAGAATTAAAGGTGGGACAGCAAAGGCAGGAAGGAGGGACAAAGGAAGAATGCCACCACATCTCACAGTCCCTTTTCTGAGAACTTCCCCCTCTCCCCCAGCACCAGCCTACACAGGAAAGAACACGAGAAGTCACATTTTTCCTTTTCTAGACAAGAAAAAGAGGCTTCTTATGCTTTCTAGTTTCTTGTTACTTTTCATCATTTATTCCCACAAGTACAAGTCCTCCCTTTTAATGTTGGGTTTAAATAGTCTGCTGCAAATCTGAAAAGCCTGTGTGATACATTTTGGTTATTAACATTATTCACTGCTATGTCGTAGATACTGTCCAAGATGTAATGATACCAACAGGTCTAACCCACTGCCAGCCAAGGCACTGCTGCTACAAATTGAGAGTGGCTTAAATCAATACGCTACTAAACAGACCACATTTAACTTTAATTATTAAAGTCTCACTACATTAGGCTGCTGAATTTATATTATTTTAGTGACACTGGTTCTTTGACTATAAGATCATGTCTGATAACTTCATTTAACTTTATTTAGTTTATTCTGTTCAAGATAAATAACAATAGGGATGCAATCTCCAGGACAGCTGTTAAAGACTAATATTTATTTCTTGGGTACAGTTACTTAACAGAGGATAGACTTTCAGAAGAGTCATACCACTGCTTAAGGTTAGGGGTCAATCTGCATTAATTCTAGGAGTTTCATCCTTTCAACCTTCTTCTCTTTTTAAGTATCAAGTGAAAAAGAAATATACAACTATTAAAAGTATCACCTTGACACTTAATCACAGGAGAAGAATGAACTCAAATAGTGAGAACAGGATACATAAGGTGAGTCAAAAGAGTGCATTTTTCCCTTCAGTCAGTACGATTCTCCCTAGCATGCAGATTTAACAATTGCTTCATGTCTTTAGGGTACTATTTTCATGGCTGCTGAGCTGGGTCCATTCCTGGGATCCCCTTGGATACAGCTGGTGGCTGCAGCTGCCAGCAGCTGCTTGGCCAGACTGCAGCTTGGAGCACCACAGCACAGCTGCCAGAAAGCTCCATGGAACAAAAGGCTGCTGTTCCCAAACAGGTGTTTTCCCCTAACTTTCTGTCCCCATGTTCTATTTTCAACATATAAGCATGACTCAGAGAGTTATATTTTGTTACATGGCCTTTCCATTACATCTGGCATTCAGAGTTATTTTGCCCTGATCAATAAAATCTGTGGGTGGGATAGCACAGGAAACTGATCTGCCTGAGAGAGTCTGAATGCTAATTGATGAATTGAACTTTAAATCCATGGAATCATAGGATTTTTTGGGTTGATAGGGACTTTAAAGATCATATAGTTTCAAGTATCCTGCCATGGGTAGGAACACCTTTCACTAGACCAAGTTCCTAAAAGTCCCATCCAACCTGATCTTGAATCCAGATTCCTGTATGTGAGACTGTATTCCACTTTGCTGCCCCCAAAATACTGTGGATAGTCTTCAGCGAGGGCATGGCATGGGGAGGATGCCTTATTTTCAGATTCTGCTGGGAATGACAGTTGTGCAAACTCCTAACAGATCAACTGAGGCCTACACTGGTTATTTTTGAAAAACCAGAAGAGGTCAAGCAAATATTGCCAGTTCAATGGTAGATATTGGTGGTGGTGGTGTTGTTGTTGCCATTGTTGTCATGTCCAGAGGGTAAATTCCTGGTTAGCAACAGCTAAATTCAATTAATCTCTTGTCAATAATTCCCCTTCTGTTTCATAGACACCAAAAGAAAAGGATACTAGATCTACTTGCATACTATATATTGACTGACAAAAATAAAGATTATATAGAAAGACTGTGACAATATTTGTGACAATAGGTGACAAGAATTCTTTAAGGAAGTTGGTATCAGATGCTGATATATCAGCAGCTTCTGTCTGGTTACAAGTCTTGGAAGACTATACCGTGTAGATCATACTTTGGAAGAAAACAATGAGAGTCCACATTGGGCAAGTTATCAGCTCATATGAAAGAGAGATGCTGTCTGCTGGCCTTTTCATTTTGGCAGATTTATTTTCTCATCAGTTCCTTAAGAAACATCCCGTTCCAAGAAGCTGAAAGAATATAGAGGAAAACCATCTATTTTTACTCCAATCATTTTTGTCATCCACGCCCCAGAGTGATGTCTGGGGCTTATTGTCTGAGTGAGCATAAACTGCATAATGCTGTCTAAAAATAAGCCCATGCACAATATTTAGTACCAGAAAATAAATCTCTTTAGTGCAGGAAGAACATGTTAACTGCTATTATTACTGATTCCATCAAGCTTTTAAAACTAGTTTAGCTGAGTTTAAGTTACTCTTCCTTTCCAGTCTATTTCTCACAAGTTCTCCTCTGTTCTCTCCCCAGAATATCACCAGGACATTCTGCAACCTGAGGCAAGAGAGAAAGCATAAAATTTTCACATCCCAAGATGTTATGAGCTGCAGTGAAGGAAACAGAATTCCTGTGACCTCCCCTTGCAATATCATCAATGAGAAGGTTCCTAGTAGAGTCACTTTCCCCTCAGTTCTATCATCAGACTTAGCCAGATTGGGGCAGAAAGGCTGTTTGATACTGTTAAGTGTCAAATTTACCTCCCCCAAAAGTAAAAAAAAATGATGGTGAACTGTCAGGACTGTATAAGAATAATCTTTAGAAGGAGTATTATTAATCAAGACCTCAGTTTATGAGGGCGTGCTCTAACCCCTGTGTTTCAGGGGATTTCATAGCTGAATTCCTGAAAGAAGCTTGTAGTGCTACCTTCCAGGGGTGAATCCAGATTTTTCCCAGGAAATCAAGCATATGGACTAAAGAAAAGGGATGGTGCATGTTAACATCTAAACAGGACTAAGATGGGATGACTTTGGGGCACATTCCTAGACCCAGGACAAAGAAAGTGCTCCCATGTCCTAAAATTTAGACATAGCTGAAAGTACCTAAGGAACACCTGCAAATTCATGTTGCATGCAACCTAAAAATGTTTTTTTTTTCACATTACATTTTTTATTATTTATCCAGTCAGTTTTTCCAAATTGCAGCCAGAACAAGACAACTGTATGCTTGCAGAATATCAGTTTGGAGAGCCAGCCCTTTCTTCAGCTTCTGCTTGGTCTTGTAATTGAGATAATACCATAAATAGTGTAATTCTGACTGCCACTTCATTTTTTGCATGAATTTCAGCATGATGGTTTTGATTAATTTAAAACCCAGTATCTGTTCTTCTGCTCTCTCCTAGCAAACAGACATTCCAGATCCAGAAACAGACTGTTGAATTTAATAAACGTATAATGCTCATCTCCTGTACAATTTAAACTGACACCATGACCCAATTGAGCTTTTTGGCATCACAAACACTCTCAGTTTAGGGAGGGTGGTGGTTCTGTGGCAGTAATAGGAACCAGATATTAGTTGTATTGTTTGTGTGGTTTGGGCATCTCTAATGGAACATTTAAGAGCCTACAA